AAAATTCTGACACACGCTGTAACATGGACAGATCTTGAGGACATTCCGCTAAGTGAAATAAGCCGGTCACAAGAAGACAAATACTGTATGATTCCAGTTATATATAAAATATCTAGAGTAATCGAACTCATAGCAACAGAAAGTAAAATTGGGATTGCCAGAGATTGAGGGGAGGGGGAATGGGGAGTTGTTTAATGGCTATAGAGTTTCAATGTTGCAAGATACAAAAATTCTGGAGATTGGCTACACAAGGCTACGAACATGCTTAACACTAGTGAACGTATCCTTAAAAATGGTTAAGATGATCAGTTTTATCCTCTGTGTATTTTACCACAATTTTAAAAAAAAATGTATAAACCATTCTTAGCTCGAGGGCTGTATCAAAACAGGCAGCGGGCTGGACTTGGTCTTTGGGCCGTAGTTTGCTGACTCCTGTTCTAACAGAATAGAAGCCATTGAATTCTTGAGCCCTTCCCCAAGACTCTACTGTACCCCGCCTGAAGTCCTCAGGATGAAGAGCATTTCCCAATTTCCTACTGGCCGTGGGGAAAAAACCTTTTCTGGCTCTTAATCAGATGTGGCTTTTGAACTGAATCCGGATCAAGTGTGCAGAAGCAGGTCCAGGTATGGGCCAGGGAGAGCCCTCAGGCGGAGTCACAGAGGCCTGTGGTAGGACATCGAGGTCGTGCAGCTGAGGGGGTGACCGGCAGGGCTTTGCCAACACCCCACAAGCATTAAATAAGCTAGTGGACACAGAGCTCAGAACACTCACTATGTTCCTGGCATATAGTAAAGCACTCAATTCACATTAGCTGTTACAATTATCATCTATGTTTGTGACTTTAAATCCAAAATTCCACTGAATCTATTGAATCTATTGATTCACCGAATCAGGTGTAAGACACGCCATTTTACTATGTACCATTTAGAAGGAAAACATTTTAGGCTGCTGCCAATTAAACAATGTTGTAATGATTTTTTTTAATCATTTGGAGTTTTAATTTTTTATGCATGGGAGAGCTCCTTAGACCTATTTTGACCTTGATATTTATCACATATCATTCTCATGAACACATCTCATGAATATATAAATGCAATAAACTGGGTGAGATGCTCCCCAAATCTTTTTGTATCCAAAGCCCAACTCTGAGGCAAAACTTTTCAACTCACAATAATCTGTGTCCATTTTCTTGGCACAGACGCATCCTCCAGTGTTCCACAAGCATCAGAGAGGCAGAATTTGTTAAGAGTGTGCATTATGGTCACTGGGACTTTCTATCTAGCCCCTGACACCCATGCCTGGGCAATGGCAGCTTTGTCCCAAATGCCACGTGGCTCAAAGTGACAGTGTAGAGTGTGGTGTTAAAATATGAAAACAGATGCATTTTAGAGTAAGCAAAATATGAGATCATCATATATCAATGACTCCAAATGGACACCTCCAGCCCCGATGCCCCCATTGGGCCCCCACAGCATTTGCCCACCTCGGCTTCTCCACAGGGATGCCCACCGGGGTTCTCAGACTGAGCATTCAGTTCCTCGAGCCCCTCCACACATACACACACATGCACACATGCACACACGCACACACTCCGCTTCTCCTCCACGTTACTAAATGGCACCAGCAGCTACCGTCTTGGGTAGATCAAAGATTTAGGACCCGTCTTTAATTGCCTTCTTCTCTACACTGCACCTACAAAGTTGGCTCCTTAGCAAATCTTGTGGATTCCACTTCCAAAACATAATCCTAAACTGCCTCTTTTCCTCCACCCGCATGGCCTCTGCTCTTGCCTGAGTCACCATGCCCAGAGTAGTCTTGTTAACACATAAATCAATTCACACAATTCATCTCCCTACCATCACACTTGAAAGGAAAGCCAAGCTCCTTACCCGACCCTGGGAAGTGATGTGAGCTGGCCTCACCTCTGTGACTTCATCTCCCCAATCCACCTGTTTTCTTGTTCCCTTATTCTGTTCCAAGCACGCTGCTCTTTCTTTCTGCTCCCCAGAAATGCCAAACTTATTTCTGCCTTAGTGCCTTGGCACCAACTGTTTCCCTGCCCAGAATTCTCAGAAGCAGAACCAGCATCCAAGCCCAGGTCTGCACCCTATGCCTGTGGGTTTCTTTTCTTTATCGTGTAAGTATTTGTTTCTACAGCAAGTTGAAGTCCTGCCGTTTCCCTGATCTTTACAAATCTGGGCCAAGTGTGGGGTATGGCCACGGAAGGAGTGAGATGGTGAGGACAGGCATGAGTGGTGGGAACTGATGGCACACCTGCCCTGTGCCAACATCACAGCAACATGGAAATTCACTTTGGAGTCCTTTCCCTCCCAGCCCCTCCCTCGCCCTGGGCCAGACTCTGCATGAGCTGGTTCTGCAGGAGAGAGAACAGGGGCTTGGAGTGCCACCACTCGCCATCCCGCTACTGTCACTTCCTAACGTGTGGCTTGACCAGTCCTTTAGCCCTCTGACCCTGTGCGGGCCAGGATGGCCCTTCCCTGATCATCGGGTTTTCCTGCAGGTGTAATGAGATTGTGTACGCGGGGTGCCCGACCTGTAGTAGGTGCCAGAGCGTAAGGTGGTGAGACTACAATGTCCCAGGCTTTGATCTGGGTCAGACTGTGAGTGCATAAGTCAGCCCTCCTGCCCCACCCCTACATGGCCTCATATACGCACACATTCACGCACATACACATGCATACACACTCATACACATACGCACATGCACTCACGCACACAGACGTGTGCCCACACATATACTCACATACATGTGTGCACATGCACTCACACATACAGACACATGCTCACACACACACAGTCATACATGCATGCCCATGCACTCACACACTCACAGAGACACATGTTCACATATACACGCACACGTGTATGCACTCACACATAGACATGCTCACACATACGCACGCTCAGGCACTCATGCACACGCGCTCACACACACTGTCACACACTCACAGAAATGCACACACATGCACACTCACACACACGCACACACTCTCACCCCGCTGCCACTCATTCCCTGCAAGCCCTTAGACCAGCACCCTCCATCTGACACATAATGCAAGCCACGCGCATAACTCCCATTTGTCTAGTATTCACATTAGGAAAAGGGAACAGAAACAGGCGACATTAATCTTGATAATATATTTTGTTTAACCTAATGTATTTAAAATAGCACTTCGGGGTGCCTGGGTGGCTCAGTCCTTACGCGACTGCCTTCGGTTCAGGTCATGGGATCAAGTCCCACATCGGGCTCCCTGCTCAGCGGGGAGTCTGCTTCTCCCTCTCCCAGTCCCCCTGCTTGTGTTCCCTCTCTCGCTGTCTCTCTCTCTGTCAAATAAATAAATAAAATCTTTAAAAATAAATAAATAAATAAATAAAATAGCACTTCAGCAGGTAATTGCTATTGCTAAATTATGGAATTTAACCGCTGCGGGCCTCAGTCCGGACTCCCCGCATTTGCAGTGCTCCCCAGCGGCGTGGGCCCCCGGCCGCCGCCCTCCACACGGGTCACACGCCGGGGAGCCACATGCCCTCTCCCTGCCCTGCCCAGCCGACCCCCGGCTGCAGCCACCTCTCCACACGGCCGCTCCTGATTGACTGGCGGGGAGTCCCCGCTGTGGTCGTGGCTGTGACTTAATGAAGGAGAGCACACCAGGCTATAAAAGTGTCCTTGGGCAGCCCTCCAGCCACGGGGTTAACCACGGAAATGCGGAGAGAGTGCATTAGGGAGATAACCAGCTGATAATTGCCGGAGAAATGAGGGCACTGCCTTGGAAGCAGACAGAAGCACAGGGCAGTCACTCTGGGCTGCCACCCCCGAGAGGGGGGACACGGGATTCAGGAATTACACCTATAACTTGGATTTTAAAAAGCTTAAGAAGAGACACCTCACTAACGGCCAATAAATTTGGAAAAAGAATCAATCTCTGGAATAGTCAAAGAAATTCATTTGGAACCACACACCTGCCCCTTTTCACATGTCACGTTTGCAAATGCCTTTTAGAATAATACCCAGTGTTGGGGAAGATGGAATGAAATGGGCGGTCTTGTATATTGCCAGGGGATGTGTAAAGGGATACAGCTTTCCTGACAAGTGATTTGGCAGGATGTATTAAGTGCTTTCAAGCTTCCCAGGGATTAAGGAATCATCAAAGAGATGTTATCAGTTACCTTGTGCTGTGAAAGACACTGTCCCAAAACCTGATAGCTTAAGAATTATATTTAGCTCATGAGTCTGTGAGTTGGCTTGGCAGTTCTTCCAGTCTTGGTGGCTTAGCTGATCTTTCTCATACACCTGTGTCAGCTGCAGGGTTGGCTGATAATGGATGGCACAGGAGAAAGGCCCTCACAGATCTCCAGCTACAGGAAGCTTAACTCACCAGGGAGGGTCCCGGCAGCTGGGCGCCAAAATCCATCACCCCACAATTGCACTGAGGCCACCTTGCCCGTGCACTACATTCTTCAATGAGTCCCCGTGGAGTGGACACGAAGGCAGGCCACCGTCCCTGAGAACCATCAGGCTGTTGTGACAGCCCGCTCTGGCTGGGCCCGTTCTCACGGTGGGCTCCGTGATCCCCATGGCTAAAACTTTACACATCGTCTTTTCCAGTGTCTCATCTGACTGCCGACCACAGAAGCTTTCAGAGATGCATTTGCAAGGGCACTCATTATGTTATTCATTTACTCATTCCACAGACACCTACTAAATGTCCACTCTAGGCCAGGCATGGTGCAAGGTGCTGGGAATTTGGTTGTACCCAAACTGGCAAGCTCTGTGTTCTCACAGAAACTGTATTCTAGTGGAAAAAGGCAAATATACAAATAAACAAGCCAAAGAAAAGATCAGAGTAATCATCATCGTACAGAGGACACAAAGAACCCAAATGTGGTCCTGTGATAGCGAGCCAAGAGGAAGGAGCAGGCCACGTGAGCGTTCCAGACAAAAGGAACAGACGAGGCAAAGGCCCGGAGGTGGGAAAGAGCTCCACAGGACAGAGGCCGAGAGAGGAAAGCAGGGCGCTCCAGGGAGCCGGGGAAGAGGAGCGTGCGTGTGACCAGGGCACAGAGGTAGGCCAGTCTCGGAATGCGCAGGGTTTCTTACCCCCAGGACTGGGGGCTGAAATGTGTTCTACATGTGGTTAGAAATACTAGAAGGTTTTAAGTGGGGGGAGGGGACGGTGTTGTGACATGGTCTGATTTACATTTTGGGGGAAGCCTCTCTGGCTGCTGGGTGGGGCTGAGGTCATACTGGGGGCCAAGAGTGGGAGTAGAACAGGTGACAGGTGCCGCTGGTAAACCGGCGGGAGATCAGATCAGCTCGGCGTGTGCAGCCTGAGGAGGAAATGGAGAGAAATCGGTTGCATAGGGATGCATTTTGAAGGTAGAGTCTCTAGGACTTGCTGAGGCTTGGACGTGAGGGGTGGGTGAGGGAGAAAGAGAAACCAAGAGTAACTCCCAACGTCACCTTCAGCTTGACCGAGGCTGCCTAAGGAAAGATACCGGAGGAGCTGGTCCAGCAGTGGGAACCCAAAGTTCTGCTTGGGGCTAGTGGACTTTGAGCTGTTGTTGGACTTCCGTGTGCAACTGTCGTGTGCACGACTGGGGGCACACGTATGAAGTTCAAAAGAGAGGTCAAGGGCAGGAGGCAGAGATGGGGGGCTGTTGGCCTACAAAGGGGATGGCACAGCACGGGGGTGGCTGGGCGGGCCGGGGAGCGTGCAGAGGACAGTTGGGACCGAGGACTGAGTCCCGGGGCCTCGGCCACAGGAAGTGAAGCAGGGGGAAGGGGTGGGGGGGCTACCGAAGGAGCCCACAGTGAGGCCGGGAAGCGAGAAAGCATGGAAGCCAAGAGAAAGAAGACATTCAAGGAGGGAGAAGGCATGCTTCACTGTGTCAGATGCTGCTGAGACATGGAAAATTCTAAACACAGAAATTCTTATGGGATTTGGCAACACAGGAGTCATGGCTGCCCTCGTCAGGAGCAGGTGCAGGGGAATGCCGGTGATCGAAGACATGTGGATGTTGGCTGGAGGGGTGGAAAGGGCAAGTGGACACAGCAACCTCGGGCCACTGGTTCGAGAAGCTCTATAGTGAGCAGGGGCAGAGAATGGAGAGAGTTGTGTCAAGGGAGGGTTTCTTTGTGTTTTTTTATGATGTCAGAGCAGGTTTCGAACCTCATGGGACCGGCCAGTCGAGATGGTGAAGTTAAGTATTCAGGGAGATGCAGGGTACCTGTATGAGGCAGGTCTCTAAAAAGGCCCAAGGGGCAGGATCCAGAGCAGAAGCAGAGGGTTTGGTCTTGGGTAGGGCAGGGAACCGTCCTCCATGGGAGTGGGGATGGGGGAGAGGGGGAAGACCAGGCGCACATTTGTGGATCCCATTGCCTTTATGAGCACACCTGGTCATTCTGTCTCGTTCGTCCCTCCCACTAGACTGTGGATTGACAACCACACGGTAGGGCTCCCGGCGGTCAGCCCAGCGCGGGGGACGCGGCACCTGTCCAAAGGGTGTTTGAGGAGTGAGGGATTCTCACATCAATTCCTAAAGTCGATGTTCAAAGGCGGGGGAGCTCTGCTGTACCAGGAAACCCAACAGTACTGGATACACAGGTGACTGTTTCCTGCAGGGGCTTCTTCACCCCCATCCCCGTCTCTGCCTTCAAAGTCCCTCCAGACCCGTAGCTAATGCCACCTCCTCTAGGAGGCCCTTTGCTTCTTCCAGCTTCAGGAGCCGGCTCCCTTCCTCCAACCTGCACCGGCAGGTGTCCCCTAGTCTCCTCTGGTGATTCTCCCATCTGACCTGGAATTATACTTACCGTGGTTCTCACTTGACTGCGTCCTAACCTAATGTTTGGAAATGAATGAACGGTAGGCTCCCCGGGCATGGAGTTGCAGCCTGGCGCTTAGCAGGCCTCCACCCGAGTTCACTGAATTGCGCTGGATGTCTCAGATTCAGCACTGAGTCTTCCTCCTTCCTCCTTCCACGGAGCTTGAAATTACACCCTTGCTCTGCAGACGGGGAAGGCGACTTAATTATCAGCTCTGTGCAAACAGCAAGGGGAAGGGTTTCTCCATTTTCAGTGCGTATGTAATGGGGAGGTGAGGCTACCCTGGGCCCAGCTATAAACCTGGCTAGCAAAGGCAGGTGTTCTCTCTCAGCCAGCCTCAAGGTGCTTGGAGACAGGGCCAACCCGGGAGCCTGCTGTCCTTGCAACCCCAACGCCTGGCACAGAGCCGGGCCCAGGGTGGGTCCTCCACGTACTGCAGAGAAGTTGAATTTCAGAGCCTAGAAGGCCCCCTGTCTTTCTACCACTGTATTACTTGGACTTTAACTAATAAGTAGTTTCTGGAAGATACACTTTAAAAAAGGCCATTTGAACGGTCTGACATGAGCTCAATTCTGTCCCGAAGTACAAGACAGGAAACAGCTTGGTTAGGACTCACCAGCTGACGCAGCTGATTTGAGGGACATTCATGGGGATACGGCTTAGATCTGTCCCCTGTGCTTCCAGAAGGCAGAGTCGAGACCAAAGGGCAGAGAGAGAACCTACTCCAAGGCAGATGTTGGCTCTGGCCCAACTGAGCTCCCGCCCGCAACCTGCAGGCCTCCTCCTCCAGAGGACTCGGGGCCCCGATGCCCAGGCACACGGTAGAGATCCGAGCAGGGCCCTGCTGCTCTGCAGAAAACATCTGAGGTTCTACAAGGCTCAGATGCAATGGTTTGAACCCGGACAGAATTCAGCGTTGCCTGTGAACTTGGATGGGAAAAAAAAAAACACATTTATTTTCTCTAATCCCTCATCAGAATTTAGCAATTTTTTTTCGATTAAGAATAAAAGGCAGCCACATGGGGTAGTACGATCACTGACTGAATTTGTCATCAGTAGAAATCACAGATTCCATGTCACATTACAGTGGCTGCTAGATATCTCTCAATATCATGCCCACTAAGCTCCAGTTTGAAATTACAATTGTTATTAGGTTCCATTGCTAGAGCTGGTGATTTAACATGCTAAGAAGAAACACATATTAATGACTGTGTCATATATTTTTATAATTTGATAATTTTATCTCATTATAATCGCTTTCTTTTAGAATTCAATGCTGTTTATATTATGCATGTAAAACACTGATTCTGAGAAGAGACTGAAGTCTCAGCCCTGGAGTCCACGGCACAGATCAGGCTAGAACTCTAGCTTCAGATGTATGTCGGTTGACTTCCTCTGAGAGAGAGAGAGACCCAGAAAGGCTTTAAAAGATCAGTAATGTTCAAAGACACGAAAAGGTATTGGATGCTGCCAGGATGATAATATTTCTTTAAATCTTTCATTATTTTATTTATTTTTTGAAAGATGTTATTTATTTATCTGACAGAGAGAGACAGCTAGAGAGGGAACACAAGCAGGGGGAGTGGGAGAGGGAGAGGCAGGCTTCCCGCCGAGCAGGGAGCCCGATATGGGACTTGATCCCAGGACCCTGGGATCATGACCTGAGCCAAAGGCAGACGCTTAATGACTAAGCCACCCAGGTGCCCCTGTTTATTTATTTTTAAAAAGATTTTATTTATTTATCAGGAAGAGAGCGAGCACAAGCAGGGGGAGTGGCAGACAGGGGAGAAGTAGACTCCCCGCTGAGCAAGGAACCTGATGCAGGACTCGATCCCAGGACCCTGGGATCATGACCTGAGCCGAAGGCAGATGCTTAACCGACTGAGCCACCCAGGTGTCCCTAAATCTTTCATTATTTTATTTATAAGTAGTGATTAGAAGTCATCTTAGATAAATGTTTCTTTGTTAACATTTTAATAGAAAGCGCATGAATGCCTAGGAATATATGCTACATTTCCTCCTCTGGACAAACCTTTATAAGCAGTGGTGCTGGGCAGAGGGGCAGGGAGGAGGGTAGGGCTGTCATTTGTTTTCTCGTCAACATTTACGGTGTCCATACGCCCAGCACAACTGAGTTCAAGCAAGCAACGTGACACCCTGAACCGAGTTGGGAAGAGATGCGTGGTTACATCCCCTGTACAATATTTCTACGTCTAGATACAATCGATATGCATCCCCTCAAGAGCACAGGGAAATAGTTAACATGAAGTGAATAGGAAGCAATGAGTTTTAATGTATATGAGTTTGCTTTTAAAAGAACGTACTTAATCATACGTTTACGTAATTTAATTTTTAATAATGGCTCTGTGAATAATCAGCTTGCCAAATCCCTAAAACTTCCACCACGAGCTCCCGCAGGCTGGTCGGGTGGGCTCAGCACAACTCTGGCTGTTCCCGAATCTTCTGCAGCACCACGCAGGCAGTGACCTCCCCGAAAGACTCAGAAGGTGGACTCAGCTGAGACAGAGCTGAACTGACACGTGCCGCTGATCGGAGGGGAGCCGGGGGTAAGTGACGAGCAGGAAGCCGGTGCCTCAGCTGTCTTCTGGGGTTCCTGTTGCTGGAACCCTTCCAGGGTCCACTGAGGCCACTTGGGCCGGGCTTCACCTAAATTAAATTCCTGTTGACGTCGGTTGCCCTGGGGATGGGGCTTCTGAACTGATAGCCACTTGGGTGGGACGTGAAGGGAGCTTGAAGGGCCGGATCCCCTGCTCCTGTCTCCCCACCAAGTTCACCCCTCATCTGTTTACCTGGTCATGGGTCCCCCATGCAGGATTTACTCCTTTTGATGAAAGCTTTGCCCTCTGTTAAACTTCAAATGCCCAGGAAGGAGGATCCACTGTATCCTCTTGGTCCATGCCCTCAAATGTCTGGGGCCCTCTAGGCTCTGTCCCGGGATGCTTCTCCCACTTGCCTCTCACACACTCTCCCTGGTGACTCACCCAGTGGCCCGGTACCCTCTATGTGCTGATGTCAGCCAAACCCACCTGGACCCCTAGATGCCCACCTGCCTGCCGGACAGTGCTACCTGGGTGCCCCACAAGCACCTCAAGCATGTCCCAAATCAAGCTCACCGCCTTCCTCTACATCCTCCTCCCAGCCCTCCTGCTCAGCCCCCAGAGGTTCCAACTTCAGTGCATGACAGGAGACCAGGCGACCAAAAACTGAGCCAGAAACCCCCATTCATCCTGCCACCCCCATCCTGCCCCTTCCCTGCCCACGATGTCCCCCCCTTCCTCTCCATGACACTTCTCCCTCACAAACTTCTCAAATCTGCCCACCGGCCCCCAGGTGCCATCACCATAGCTCTGATCTGGACCCTGAGGGCACCCTCCTACCTCATCCAGCCTCACTGCTCCCCTCCATCTGTGCTCCTCCACCCTTCCCTCCTGCTTCACATGCCTCTAGCGCCAGCCCACCCACTCCCTGCCCTCACCCACCCACCCTCACACACGGCAGTTTTCACAGAACTGGAACGAGCAATCCTAAAATTAGTATGGAGCCACAAAAGACTCTGAATTGCTAAAGCAATCTGGAAAAAGAAAACCAAAGCTGGACGTATCACGATTCCAAGCTTCAAGTTATATTACAAAGCTGTAGTCATCAAAACAGCACAGAAATAGACACATAGATTGATAGAACAGAATAGAAAACCCAGAAATAAACCCACAATTGTACGATCAACCAATCTTCAACAAAGCAGGAAAGAATATTCAATGGGAAAAAAAAGTCTCTTCAACAAGTGGTGTTGGGAAAACTGGACAGCCACATGCAAAAAAAAAAAAAATGCAACTGGACCACTTTCTTACATTCACTTGTGGAATTTAGGGAACAAAACAAATGAGCAAAGGGAAAAAAGAGAGAGAGACAGAGGCAAACCAGGAAACAGACTCTTAACTCTAGAGAACAAACTGGTGGTTCCCAGAGGGGAGCTGGGGTGGGGGGGAAACGGATGAAATAGGGATGGGGAAGAAGAGCACACTTACTGAGCGCTGAGTCATGTACAGAATTGTTGAATTGTGATATCTTGAAACTAATATAACGCTGCATGTTAACTATGCTGGAATTAAAATTAAAAATTTAGTTAAAAAAATTTAATAAATCCTTGTTGCTAAAAATCCACGTTTTGGTGATAGTAAGAGGTAGAATTCTCACAGTTGTTACTACATCCCGAGCACTTATGCAGAACCACCACAGACCACGGGAGAGAAACTGCTCTTCTCCCACTTTACAGAGGGGAAGATTCAGGCACAGGGCAGCTGAGTGACAGAACGGCACAGCGGGGCGATGAATCAAAGCAGCCTGACCCCAGCATCATGACGGTAACCGTTGTGCTGCTTGGTCAGTGGAGTGAGAGGGAAAGCAGGAAGGTTGGGGCACTTGTCAGCCAAGGAGACAGGACTCTGATGAGGAGGCAACATGACCCCACAGCAGAATGAGGAACAGGCATGAGAACCACTCTCGTGTGACGTGTGAACCTGATACCAACCTCCGTCTCCCCACAGCTTCAGGGTGTGGACGGAACACTAATACTTTCCTTTTCTTTCACAAGAGGGTTTTGAGGAAGAGAGAGGTTGAGCTACCAAAGTAACACAGCTGGTAAGTTCCAGGGCTGAGCGTCCAATTCCAAGACTAGTAGCTTTCATTCCAGTGTCAGGAAACCCCCAGAGCTACCCTTGGTGCACAGGCCACCACCCAAAGCATCCCGGGCCTAAGCAAGCAGGAAACTAGAGATGAGGATGACATTTGAAATGGGACTGGGCTGAAAAAAAATAAATAAATAAATTGGACTGGGCTGGACTTAATACCAAAAAAGTTATGGGGTTTGCTATGAGATTGATGGGAGGGGGACAAGGAGATTCGAGGAAGTGTGGCCCAGGGAAGCGCTGGAAGAAAAGAAAGCCATTCCGGGCTGGGCTGGGCTGGCTGCAAAGGGTCCAAGTAACCAGCCCCTCGAGGTCTGACCCAGCATCCTGTCTTGAGGCCCACAGCCCCACTCGGCCTCTAGGGGGCGCTCCATCCGCGTTCGCTCAGGTTGCCGCGGGGACCGGATCAGGTGTCAAACTCCGTTAGGCTGTCCCTGGGTTTATCTGGTTTGGAGTTCATGTCCAGGATGCTATTCCAGAACTGTAACTGGTTTCTCAGAGGCGATTCACTGCTCTCATTAGCGGACCACGGTAGTTGCGGGGTTCAATTTATCCACAGTTAGATTGCGTTGGGAGACCAGCCAGCTCTTTTTGTACCCACAGATTTTAAATGCCTGCAGCCAGCGTCCCTGCAGTGGGATCTGGGCAGGATGCTAGCCGCACTGGCCTCCAATCCCGATGACATTGGCCGTGAGGTGAGAGCCGCCCGACTCTGTGCCCTCCCAGAGAAAGCCTGACGGTTGGGGAGGCGGATTCGGTCACACTCGGTCCGGAGCTCATTCACTAGACTTTCGAAGCCATCGTTTGGGCAAGGTGGTCCTGACACCCTGTGAGTGACCGCACAGCACCGTGACCTCCTCGCTCTGGTCTGAGATGTCATTCTCGAGGGCGGGCTTCTGTCGTAAACCACACAGGTGCAGCCCCAGTCGAGGAACCTCAGGTCTGAGACAAAGGCTCCTGGGCCCCTCTTGCCCCTTGCTGTGTACCTCTTCTATGCACTTGGCCCTGGGTCTTCATTCAGACCTGCCAGCTCGCCCATCCCCCACGCCATGTCAGGCCCTCCCCTGAATCCGCTGTCTTTCCGACCTCACTCTCTGACCTCCCACTCTGAGCTCAGCAAAGGCAGGACAGATTTTGTTTTATTTCCTCTGATATCCTAAATGCATTGTGGAGTTTGACACACAGTAGGCCCTGGAAATCTGGGGCAGTGACTGTATACATCTGCATCTAAGCTTTCCTCGCCCCCTCTCAGACTAGGAACCGATTGTAAAACTCCTCCAGGAAGAGGGGAAGCAGCCTGTGATTTGGGGTCCGCAGGCCCTCATACAGAATGTGGTAGAGGCAGGATGTGAACTAGGGTCCATCTGGCTCCCAAGGCTAAGAAGGGAGAAGGTTTACTGGCCCTGACACTATGTCTTGCTTCCAATCCCCAGTCACCCTGCCAAGCACATAAACACACATGCACACAAATACACAAAACACACAATCCAGGAGATGTCCTGGGTTAGCAGAGATGGCTATGGTCAGCGGACTGGTTAATGGGGGGTTAGAATACTAGGAGTATTACTGTTATTTATTAGTAATTAATTTAAACTATTTTTAGCAAGAGGAGAGAGAATCACAGACAATTCTGGGGATTGGAAGGAATATTTTATATTTGCAAGAATCTCTTCTACCAAGCAGGATGGCTGTTCAATAGCTAAGCTTGGGGCTCTGCTGTTTAAACTAGAGTTTGAACACTGGCCTGTCTGGGGCTCCCCTGACTCTGCCCACCTGTCCAGAGATTTGCAGAGCCACTCCCAGTTGAGCATCCCCTACCCCAGCCCAATAAGGAAATCTGATGTTCAGTTCATTCTTCCCAGGCCAATCCTCTTTGCCAAATCACTTCTAATTTGACTTTTATCTTTGTATCTCCCAGTGTAGGGCAGATGGATTCCCCCAACCCCCAGCCCAAGGCAGGGGTCTTGTGGGTCTGATCTCTGCACACCCAACAGACAGGACAATTGCTGACACCTAGGAGGTGCTCAGACACATGGCTGAAGGTTTAACAAACCATGGCATTCAAGATATCAACGGGAGACGGACTCGCAGCATCCTCAGTACATGGACCAGGCACTATCTTTACATTTCAGTATCTCTGAGATCAACATGCATCTTACAATCCCTGTGGCCAGTGGCATTTGCCACTCCTGCTTGTGCAGGTCAAAGCTTACAGAATGTGAACGAGAGGCTCAGAAGCAAATCCCTTAGACAACAGTGGAACACTCTTAAGAAATTCTGGAATCTGAGGATATGTTGCCTTCCATGGCAAAAGGAACTTTGCAGTTATGATTAAGCTAAGGATCTTGAGATGGGAAGATTATCTGGATGGTCTGGGTGAGCTCAATGTAATCACAAGCATCCATAAGTAAGAAAGGGAGGCAGGAAGGTCAGAATGAGAGAAGCAGCTACAACCACAGAAGCGGAGGTCGGGGTGTTGTGGTCGTGAGTCAAGGAATATGGCCAGTCTCTAGAACGGGAAAAAGCAAGGTAACAAAGTCCTCCCTAGAGCTGCCCCAAGGAACACGGCCCTGCTGACACCTTGTTGCTAGCCCAGTGAGACTGTTTTCGGACTTCTGACCTCCAGAGGTGTAAGATAATAAATTCATTTTGTTTAGGCCACTAAGTTTGTGGTAGTTTGTTATAGCATCTTAAGAAACCAATATGGCGCATCTCACTATGTATCATCCATCACAGTCACAGTGAACTTAGGGAAGGCTCATCAATGGAAGACAAAACTAAGGGGTGAACATTTGAAGAAAAGCAGGATATGTTTATTAATTATGGAGGGGAAAATAATTACTTGACAGCAGACATCACCTTGGCATGTGATCAAAGTTAGCATTACCCCAAGTGGGGCAAATGGACAACTTGTGTCTCCTGATAACAATGTGCTGAGAAGAACATAGCATCACTTCTGTGGTATCCACACCAAAAATGTGTAATTTGAATCTAATCATGAAGAAATACCAGATGAATGAGAATTTAGGGATATTATACAAAATGACTAGTCTGTACTCTTCAAAAATATCAAGATGTGAAAAAAAAAATATCAAGATGTGGAAGGCACAGGAAGTCTGAGGAATGTTCCAGATTACAAGTCCCAAGAGGCACAGCAGCTCAGTGTAGTGCATGATTCTGAATTGGATTCTGGACCAAAAAATACATATTTTTAAAATAAATATTTTACTTTATATATATATATGTTTTCTTTTGTTATGAAAGACTTTATTGATAAAATGGGGAAATGTGAGTAAGGTCTGTAAGTTAGGTAACAGAATTATATCAATGTTAATTTTCTTTATTCATTGCTTCAATCATTGTTCTCTGGTTAAATTAGAAGATATCCTCTCTTTTGGGGGGAATATGCACTGAAGTATTTAAAGGTAAAGGGACATCATATCTATGACTTAATCTCAACTGGTTCAGAAAAAAATAATGTATGGATCTTCCTCAACTAACAATGCTGTTACCTCTCAATAAATCCATTGTAAGTTGAAAATACCATTAAGTCAAAAATGCACTTAATACCTAAACCTACCAAACATCACAGCCTAGCCTAGCCTACCTTACACATGCTCAGAACACTTACATTAGCCTGCAGTTGGGCAAAATCATCTAACACAAAGCCTATTTTGTAATGAAGTATTGAATAACCCATGTAATTGATTGAACACTATACTCAAAGTGAACAACAGAATGGTTGTATGGGTGCGGAATGGTTGTTGGTGGAGCGGTTGACCCTGTGATTGCAGGACCCTGCAATGGGGGCTGTGGCTCACTGCCCCTGCCTAGCATCATGAGAGAGGATTATACCGCATATCCCTAACCTGCAAAAGATCAAAATTCAAAATTTGAGGTATGGTTCCTACTGAGCACCATCGTAAAGTTGAAAAATCGTTAATATGAACCATTGTAATTTGGGGAACATCTGTACATAGAAAGACATACACACACGTGTGCACATGTAGGTAATGGTAAATAGAATGTAATAAAATGTAAAGATCTTGGGATCTGGTGAAGCACATAAAGGAACGCCTTGTATTATTCTGACAACTTTTCTCTAAGTTTGAAATTATTCCAAAATATAAAGTTTCATAAAAAAGGCAATGTTGCATCACTAACACACTTTGCACAGAGGAGCTCCATAACTCTGAGTTGAAAAGTGATTTAAAGGAATTAAAGCCTGAACGTGAAGACATTTTAGAAATACCTAACCAATTTATTTCACGTACATTTTCTTTTCTATGTAGGCAAAAGAGTAACAAATGGTCAAAATCTATGCCTAAACGAGTTTAAAAGAGGTTTTATGGTAAGTTTACCAAAAAATTCTAAATGCTACAGAAATCCTGTGTCACAGTTCCATTGCTAGATGTTTTCCTTTCTTAGTGGTACATAAAATAATGATAAATGATAAATCTTTGAAGTGAAAAAAAATAAGGTAAATAAATGTTTTTAACCCTGACTTTCGTTAAAATGTATGACCTTGGGTAAGTCACTATGACCTTGGGTAAGACACTTGGAGCATATTTTCCTGGTCAATATCCACCGTGCAAAGCTGTCAGGAGGATTAAAGCATCATCGTAATGATAATGATAATGTCAGTAACAGTGACTTTTTTTTTAAATTTTTTTATTGTTATGTTAATCACCATATATTACATCATTAGTTTTTGATGCAGTGTTCCATGATTCATTGTTTGTTCATAACACCCAATGCACCATGCAAAACGTGCCCTCCTCAATACCCATCACCAGGCTAACCCATCCCCCCCCCCACCCCCCTGCCCTATCCCTCCGTCAGTTTTTCAGAGTCCATCATCTCTCATGGTTCGTCTCCCCCTCTGACATACTCCCCTTTTCTTCCTCTCCTGTTATCTTCTTCTTTTCCTTTTTTCTTAAAATATGTTGTGTTATTTGTTTCAGAAGTACAGATCTGTGATTCAACAGTCTTGCACAATTCACAGCGCTCACCGTAGCACATACCCTCCCCAATGTCTATCACCCAGCCACCCCATCCCTCCCACCCCCAACCACTCCAGTAACACTCAGTTTGTTTCCTGAGATTAAGAATTCCTCATATCAGTGAGGTCATGTGATACATGTCTTTCTCTGATTGACTTATTTCACTCAGCATAACACCCTCCAGTTCCGTCCACGTCGTTGCAAATGGCAAGATCTCATTCCTTTTGATGGCTGCATAATATTCCATTGTGTATATATACCACATCTTCTTTATCCATTCATCTGTCGATGGGCATCTTGGCTCTTTCCACAGTTTGGCTATTGTGGACATTGCTGCTATAAACATTGGGGTACACGTACCCCTTTGGGTCCCTACATTTGTATCTTTGGGGTAAATACCCAGTAGTGCAATTGCTGGATCGAACGGTAGCTCTAATTTCAACAGTAACAGTGACTTTTAAGCCAGTGTCATGTGTTGCATTAACTTCCAAATGTTAGCATAGAGTCCAGCCAAAAATAGATGCTCAATACATGGTAGTGTAGGGGAAGAAAAACAATTTCCCCTCTACCTTGCTGAGTTCTTGGCTCAAACGCCTTGGAATATAAAGACAGATTTACAAGAGAAGAACAAAGAGAAGTTAATACACATGGATGCCTCACGTATCTGTGGGAGAGACCCAGGGACACTAATTCCCTGACATGGCCCAAGCCACCACCTTAAATACCATCTTCAGCTAAAGACAAAAGTTAGATATGAGGGGGCGAAATGGGGGTGGGGGACAGGTATGGGAGGTAAAGAAAAAGCCTGGTGATTCAGGTTGGTCCCTTTTCCACTGATAAATTTCTCATAATTTAGAGTCATGCTTCTCTTCCTGGTAAGGCAAGGGAGACACTGCCAAAAGGAGCTTTCAGATTTCCTTTAGAGATGCAAATGCCCCTTAACAAAAGGGTAATTTCTATTCTGTTTTCAGAACTTCTTCTATATCTGCTGTTCTCAAAAATAATCAGCTCAAAAAAAAAAAAAATCCTTAAGCCAAGGAAGCACATTTTGGGGGTGAATTCTGCTTCCCTTCAGTAGCTATTAAATGAGGGTCATAAATGTAATTTGTATTATGATCAGACTGTGCAGGAAAAAAAAAGTGCTTTTGCTTATTTGATGTGGAATGAATTGAATTTTTCTCCTGAGCTCTCCCCACCCCCTGGTTAGCAGGCCAAAATATTATTCAGATCCTATTTAGAGTTCTCACAGCCTTCTCTCTGAGCCTTCAACCAGTTTCCCAGTCTTTCCTAGGTACCTGTTCACTTATCTGGCCCCTTTCTGTCCTTGCAGTCTCCCTAAGGTGATGTCTGGTGAGTGGGGGAGAGGAGCATACCATCCCGGAAGTGTTGGGGGTGTTACAGACTGAACGCTCAAGTCCCCTCAAATTCATATGCTGAAACTTAATCCCCAGTGTGATGGGTTTTGGAGGTGGGGGTCTTGGGGGAGGTGATTAGGTCATGAGGGTTGGAGCTCTCAAGAATGGGATTAGTGCCTTATAGAAGGGACCCCAGAGAGATCCCTGGCCCCTTCTGCCCTGTGAGGACACAGCAGGAGGACAGCAGACCTTGAACCAGAAGTGGGCTCTCTCTGAACACCCAACCTGCTGGTACCTTGATCCATGAGAAACAAATTGTGTGGTTGATAAGCCCCCCCGCCCAGTATTCAGTTCGAGCAGCCTGAGTGGACTGAGATGGGCGGTAGAGGCCCTGACCCATCCTGAGCCCATGGAGGTGCCCCTGGCATTCATGGACTGCCAAGGGTCTCTAACATCAAAGCTTCTGGAAGCCAGGGCTTGTTCAAGGTCAGGGTGGCTCCTGCATTGCCAATGGCTGCCCTCCACCAGCCAGCCCACTGACTTGTGTCACCCCTGAGTGTCACCTTGCCTTGCCCAAGACAGGCCCCCTGGTGGTGCACTAAGGAGAAAGCTAAAACTGAGGGTGCCCCTCAAGTGACCCTCTTGGCCCCTTTCTGACGGTGGGCACCCGGGGAACAGTGATCAGCCTCCTCTTTCTGACCTCCTTGCTGATCCCTCTGCCAGCCTCGGGCCCAGGAATTGCAATCAGAAAAGCGGCTTCTGACCCCTTCGCCCTCCGCCCGCTCCCACCTCCTTCCTTCTCTCCCACAGATCTCCAGGGCCACCCGCCTTACTTGTCCTCCTTCCCCGCCCATCCTTGTTCCCTGACTGCATTCAGCCTGTGGGCCTGGCCCCTCCCACACAGGCCACTGGGTACTGGGACGCTCTCTCTCCCGGCTTTGCCCTTGATATGCTAATGAGGGAGATAAAGGAATCCTA